TTTTCCTTTCTATTGTCTCTTTTGAATAGTGTGTAGATGTTGTTTATCTCTGTGTGCCTGTGGATGGCTGCCTTGTCTGAATACTAAGCTTCCAGAAATTCCCTCGCATTGTTGGATTTAGCTTGGTCTAAGATGCTTATAGTTTCTCAGTTGAAACTATGGTTGTTTCTCCATGTGTTGTGAGAATTTTCATCATGTCTTCTGAATGCTAGTTGGTGTTCATGGATGTGCTCTGCCAGTCTTCTGTCTGTCTGTCCTACATAGTGGCTGCCACGATCCTTACATTGCATGGTGTAGATGACTCCTGTTTTTCCTTCTTGGGCTACTGGGTCTTTTGGCTTACTCTTAAGATGTTTTGGGGGTCTTTAGTTGGTTTGTGTGCTACAGTGATGCCATGTGGCTGTAGCAGCCTGTTGGTTGTGTCTGGGATGTTTTTGATGTATGAGAATGTATTATATTTTATTATATTATATTATATTATATTATATTATATTATATTATATTATATTATAATTAACTTCACCTAGCCCTTTGCTGAAGGAGAGTAAGACCCCTCACTTCATCATGTTTGCCATCTTTTATCTTTATTTTTTTTAAGTGTTATTGATTTTATTATAATTACTTTGTTCGTTGTGAGCTGCCCAGAGTCATTGAGAGTCAGGTGGCATACAAGTTTAATCAATTATTAAATTATTATGATTATATCTATCTACTTTGAGGCTTTTTTCTGTCTGTCTTCCCAAACCTGCTGCTTTTGATAGGACATTGTTTTATCAACACTGCTACTGCTGTCTCTTTGATTTAAACATCACATTCTCTAAATCCTACCTTGTCTGCAAATTTATTAAAAACTGCAGCTTGGACAAAAAAATACAGCAGTGCCGCAAAAACGACCTACAAATAATTTCAATAAATGGATTGACCGAAAGTTGCGTGAGCTTTAGAGATAAACATTTCTGAAGCTGGTTCTAAAGACAGAAATATTTCAGGTGTGGGATCTAAGTATGAAAGGTGAAACCAGATTTACCCAACCAAGCATCTTCCAGATGTTGCTTGGGAACTGTGGCCAGTGCCGAGACATCTGGAGTGTTCCAGTTAGAGGAAGACTGCACTGAGCTGTCCATGGTTCTTCCATCCATCAGGCTTCAAACGTATAATGGTCTAATTTCACTCCATGTTGTTAGCCTTGCATCTTTTAGATTGGCTGCCTTCAGATGACGTGGTTATCCGTAGTGAAAGGTTGGAGAAATATTTGGAGAAATGTATGAAGAACAATATGTTGAACCCAGAGAAGAGAATAATTCAGGGAGACATGAGAGTGGTCTTCAAGGTATCTGAAACTATTTCATGTGGAAAACGAGGGAAGGCTTGTTCATCGTTGTTGCAGAAGAGAAGACAAGAAACTGTAGGGTGAAATTACAAGTAGGTTTCAGTTGGACATCAGGAAGAAGAGTTTGTCCCAGGAGATGGTGGACTCCCCTTTGCAGAAGATAGAGGAAGGATGACCATTTGTAAGGGAAGCTGAATAGTGGACACCTGCATGAGGCAGTGGGTTGGACTAGATGATCTTCAAGATCCCTACCAACCATTACATCTATGAATCCAGTTTTTTAGGATTCACACTGAACCCTAACTCATCACGCAGCCTGGATCTGTAAAACGACTCCAGGGCTAACATACAGTCAGCTAGTTTATGGTTCAGTGTTGTATGCACACGCCCGTTGTCTGATCCAGGAGCCATACCTCAGTGACAACCCTCTTCTGAGCCTTGCTCTGCCTTAAGAGATGCACTAAGGGGGTGAAGCAGCAGGTGCACCTTTCTCGCCCTGCCTTTGAAAAACACCCAGCTGCTGAATTTATTCCCATTGCACGGCTTTGAATGGCACAGGAGTTATATTTAGAATGGTGGCGACACTTTCTTTGGTGGGCTGTTTGTTTGCAGCAATCGTGATGTCACGGGGAAACTTGTGGTGTGCAAAAGCAGCTTCGTATAGTAAATGTAAAGGTGAAGACTCCCTCAGTTTGTGCTGGACTCTTCGTTGTTTTTCTGACTGCAGTGCACAAGGAGTTTTCCACTGCTTTTTTTTTTTTTAAACTTCCCAGCCCAGCTTAAAATTTTGGGATTTTAATCCAGCCCAACCCTGCTTAGGTTTTTAAAATTCCAGGCTGACACGGCGCCATCAGTCTAAATCAGACTGTCCTAGTAAATCCTTTATTTCTGAGGAAGCTTTAGGGCTACTGTGCTACTTTCCAGGTTACAGAGCTCTGAACCTGTTCTGAGTTCAAAGCAGGACCTTTTTACCTTCTCGAAAACGGAATCGCTATTGCTAAAGCGCAATAGCTTTAACCTTTTCGTTTTGCGTGGATTTTAATGCTGCATGACAAACACAGGCCAGGCTTGAGGTAGAATTTTGCTGCGCTCTGGGTCGTTTTTAGAAGTTTCACCAGCCGGACTGCTGATGCAGTCTTGGAAAGCAGGACGCGCTTCCTAGCGACAAAGCTCTTTTGGCTTCCTGAAGGGCTGTTAGATATTTATTTTCTAAAATTTATATGGCCACCTCACGATGACTCCAGGCAGCTTACAAGAATAAAAATCCAATACAAAACTGACTCCACCGCCCAGCAACAACACTACACTAGCCATTTGGTGGGACTCTGGGTCGACCTGGGATCCCCAGGCCTGCTGGCAAAACCATGTCTTCAGGGCCTTGCAGAAGAGCATCAAGGTGGGGGCCAGTCTGATCTCTGCGGGGATGATGTTCCACAGGGAGGGAGCCACCACAGAGAAGGCCCTTCTTCTTGGTCCCACTAGATGGACTTCCTTAAT